TTGTGGCAATGGTCACAATACCGGGTTACAATTTGTTATCATATTTTAAATTTATTTAATTTAAAATATATGCTCTCCACCTCAAATTATTAATGGCTTGCCCCTGTACATCATGCTTTTCCTTTAACAATAGAGTCGTGCCGGTCATCTATTAACTGCTTTCAGGGGAAAATATTTGAACTGAAATAATCAGATTTCCGCATTGCACCGGAAATTCATGTATAGTTATTCGGAACCTATTCCCCCATTAGTTTCCATGTTTATCTTTAATTCCCTTTATCTAACATCATTCCCCAGATTATGGAAAGACAAACGGACGAATAGATGGACGACAATGGGAATTTATAAGTCTACAATTTTTCAAATTGCACCCCAATAAAAATGTATACGAGAAGAAAACTACAACAATAATTTATTTATTCATATATTAAGACATAATTATGTTCAAATTTATACATAATATTTATAATATCTAATAAATAATAAATAGAGTGTTATATAAGTACAACAATTGTATAATTCTACAAATATATTAAAAGTTTGTAGTACAAGTATAAAAGTAGAATTACAACAGAAATTTAAAAGAGATTGTGACAGTTTTTTTTTAATTCCATAAACCTGAAATTAGATTAGTATGTTAACATATGCGGCTCAATAAACGTTTATTATTTTTGGTATACTTTTTGTTCTGTATTCTTAAATAACTGACACAGTATTTCTTATGCATTATGTAAGTAATGATTGATTGATCGAATTAAATAGTTAGGTGATTTTGAATGATTGCCTGTTTTTTTTTCTAGTCATCTTATCTTCATACAATTTTCATTTCTTGTCACTCGTCACTATATATAGGATATAGAATGTTTTAGTTATAACATAAATTTAGGGAATTTTTAATTTATTCTGTGATCGATATTGAAGAAGGTATGTAATCTGCACTAGCTTAATACTTAATATAGTTTTATTTGATGGGATGAATAAATCATCTAATTCGCGAATAATATTACTATATTTAATAAATTTATCTAAAAAACACAGTAGTATTATTTCTTATATATTTTTTAAAAATATATACAGTATAATTAAAGATTTATATAACTACATTCCGCATTTTCAAGAGGTAAAGGCATTCCTCTACGGCTTTGAAGATTCGGGTTCGAGTCCATAACTCTCAATAGTGTGACTCAATATATGCTTCACGAGGCATTAAACAAGCGATGAAAACTTGTTTAGTGCCTCATTCCTTATCATCTGAAAATTATTATGTACTGTACTTGGCCAACCGAAAAAAAATCCTCTTGACTTCATTAGGATGTTTAAAATATCACGAAGATGTATAAAACACTAATAGAATATCCAAATAATTTCTTATTTATAATATTTATAACATTCTAGAATTGGATATTTTTAATATAAGATCAATATATTTAAATAAAACTTCTATAAAGGAGTAATTTGAAAATTTATTATTTATGTAAGGAAAAAAAAGCAACGTTGTGTCATATTTATATATTTTAATTGCATAGTATATACATGCAGGTAGTAGTATTTCATCTTTTACACCTTGCACAATTATAACCGAATACAAATTGAGAAAAGAATATACAGTATTAAGCAAGTAAAATAGTTTTGCAATTATCATAAAAGGATCATTTAAATTATTTCTACATTGAAACTCGGATTTATTATCAATTAAATTTTTTAAAAATTCGAATATTTTATTATTAACTTTCCATTTTAATATAATTATTATGAATATACAACAACAACCTAGCCAATAAGATTTAAATATTCCTTTTTCTGTTATATAGTAATATATATTGTAAATAAACAAGGCATTTGTTTATGCAATAAATGTTTTTTCTTAACAAATGCATTATGATCCGTTGGATCTGGATCAATTAATGTAAGTGTGTATGTCAAAAACACTAAGAAATACAATTAAGCTAAAGACAACATAGCTGTTCCAGATTTAAAAAATAATTTGATATTTTTTTTCTAAAATAACAGAACAAGAAAATTCTGTCACATTTAAAAGAAAATCAGCCACTTGCCAAATTACTTGCCAAGATGGTTTCATTGCAATGATAGCAAGGAAAAGAGATCAACTATACGTTGTAGAGATAAAACCTCACACCGCATTGAATGCAGAAAAAAGTGGAACTGACAATCTTTTCAGATGGCATCAACAACTTGGTCATCTAAATGTCAACAACCTAAAAAAGTTAGCTAACAAAAAAATAATTGCCGAAATAACATTGGAACAAACCCAAGATAGAATTGATTGTGAGATATGCTACAAAAAAAAGATTCACCATTTACATTTTAAGTCGTTTGACACAAGACAAAATAATATGCTGAGATTAATCCATTATAATATATGTGGTCTGATGAGTGTGGAACCTAGAACCTAGGCGGTTCTAACTATATTGAGACTTTCATTGACAACAAGACAGGTTACATTGACTTAGCAATGCTTAGACACCAATCTGAAGTTCTTAACGCATTTAAACGTTACAAGGAAAGAGATGAAAATGAAACTGGTTAGTGAATCAAAAGACTCTGTACTGACAACGTAAAATAATATTTAATACAAGAATTTAACAACTATTTTGAATAAAAAGGAATGAGAAGGCAATTAACAGTCGAGCATACTTCTAAACAAAATGGAATAGTGTATCGAGCAAACAGAACTCTTGTTGACATGGTGAGATGCATGATGATTCAATACAAGATACTTCAGAGTTTATGGCCAGAAGCGATCAATGCAGCAGCCTATATAGGCAATCGCTGCCCCACTAAAACTGTAGAAGAAGAAACTCTACTCGAAATTTGGACTGGAATAACTCCTACGTTAGATTTATAAGAATTTTCGGCTGCAATGCAATTGCTTTTCAAAAAGGGCATAAGAAAAACAAATTTGAACAAAAAGGAAAAGAATACGTTCTAGTTAGTTATCCACAAGAGTCAATGGCATACTGACTTTGGGAGAAAGGCTCCAAAACTGTCATAAAAGCTTGATGAGATGTGCATTTCATCGAAAAATTTAAAACCGAAGATAAACAAAACTTATTTAGTGCGTTTTAGACTGAATACCGACCATGAAATGCTTTGAAGTTGATAACAGTAAAGTTGCTTCTACTGATACGAATAACAAAAATATTACTTTACATGATAATAAAACATTAAATTCACAACCAAAACGCTTACCAGAATATCCAAGGTAAATTAGAAGTGGTAAGCCTGGAAAACCAAAAAAGTGTACAATGAGGTAGCAGATTTTGACAAAATTCTGCCAGCTNAAAAAAAAAATGTCAAAACTCTTCGTATTTCACGTCACGTTTTTTGCAACTCAGTTCAGGTTTTTCCTTTAAAGACATTTCCATATTAATTTTATACATTTCAATGAGATAGTCTTTCATGTCATCTAACACGAAAGATACGTATCTATCTTATTGGCTGTGTTTTCTACTTTTGTAGTTTAAATGTAATATAAATAAAATTAAATATTATGTTATTATTATATTCTATAAAATAAACTAATAATAATAAATAGGTGAATTTATGCAAATAAATATTTATATAACATTTTACTTAATCCACAGAATTAGCTTTCAAGTATTTGTATATATGATATGTTAGTTTGAAAAGAAAGAAATATATATATATAATCATATTTATAGATATACTAACCATATATTAAAAGCATTAAAAATAAAAAAATTCATTCATTTTCATTCGTAATATTTATATACAAACTCATTAAACAGTTATATGAATATTAAAATCTCACTTTATAATTATACTTTATGCTTTAAAAAAGTAATTAAAATCGAAGTTTTAAGTATATATTTCACCTAATTTTAAATATATATACTATATTATACACGTAATTATAAATATATACTTCTATACATACAAACTGTACATTGCTATGTTTTTAACTAATAATTTTTGTTTTGCTTACTATTTTACATTACTTATTTACTATATTAATTATAATTTTAAGTTTATTTATTTATTTATAATTTTAGTTTAGTTATTTATTCAAAATTAAAATTGTGAATTAAATAACTAAACTATATTCGTGTACAAAGGCGAAATTAAAAAGTGTTTTCTGTTGAAAAATTATGTTAAAAATTTATAATTATTAAAATAAAAATGCTTAATATTTGAATTTAATATAGTTTATTGTAATTATAATACAGAAATCAGTTGATATTTAAATATTTTTTGAACAAGAAAACATTAATTTTAACATCATACGTATTATAAAAATGAAAAGAATAAGCTTACAATAAATATATTTTATATTCTTTTATGGTTGCTATTAATATAAAATAGTTTCTAATATAAAAATCCTTAAATTCTCCAACATAAAAAAAACACAATGAAATGAAATTCAAATTGTAACTTTCTTATTACATATATTTCACTTATATTCTAACCTATAAGCTGTTAAAGAAATAATATACTAAAATAATAAATTTCTTATTAAATTATAACTTGAACATTAAATGAAATAAATTTTATAAAACATTAATTTTTTCAAAAATAATATGAATAAAAAAATATCATGAATATGGAGTAATTCATGTTTAATTCATGAACTTAAATCAATTTTTTAAAATCCTATTTTAATTTAATCAAGTGTATATTCAATGCTTTAAACACATTGATTATTATTATATTTAAGGATATTATGATGATAATTTATACATTTTATTCTGTTAATATTATGTTAAAGAATAGGAATGTTCTATATTATTATAATAAATTAATTCCTACTTTAGAATGAAAATGAAAGGTTAAAAATAAAGACATTTTTTTCATATCTAATATTAAAAAAACTTATAAGACTACAGCATTATAATTTTGTAAAAAAAAAACATTGCATTTATATTTAATTTTTGTATAGAATTCATATAAATTAAGGCAAATTTTACTTTACCATTTTTTTCAGTTAAACTTTTATATTGAATCAACATATTTTTCCCTAGGGAAACTTTGGACTGCACCAGAACTCTTACGCATGTCTGATCCACCACCGGAAGGGACCCAGAAGGGTGACGTCTATTCCTTTTCCATCATATCTCACGAAATCGTCACACGACAGGGAACATTTTCTGTAGGAGATCTCGAACTCAGTCCCAAAGGTATGACGTCAATTTACGTCATTTTATATATCGCGCAATAGAGCCATATTTTACTATAAATTCGTAATACATAACGGATGAAAGGATCTTAAGATGTATCAAACAAAGATTGGAAGAGGAATCGAGACTCACCATTGTGATAGCATTGCTGAAACATCGCCATGTCGGCGTCACTCAAGTAAGTGCCATCTTGAAAGAGTCAATGATGATTTATACAAACGTCATAAGTAAAGGTTGCGCTCATAAAATTTCGAATTTTGTCAAGAAATTTATGTTTTTGACATAAAATAATTTCTTTTTTTATTTTAAAAAAATAATTATATATATTTTTTTAATTAATAAAATTTTATAGTAATATTTTTGAATTAGTAATTCCAATAGTCAATAATAAGCGCTTTTTTGTCGGTCTTGAAGAAAATTCTTGAAGAAAATTCTTGTCATTTTTGTGTTAAATATAAAATTAATGCATTCTTCTAGTTTAACTTTTAATTTAATATAATATTAAATCCATGGAAATTAATTTTATAAACGTATAGAAGTGGAGAAACAATTTAAAAGAAAGGTTCAAAGATGATTTGTTATCAATACGATATAATGAAAATATAGAAGTATTTATGATGATGAATCCAAATCATTTGTTTATTTATTAAATGTAAGCAGATGTCTACTTAAAATGGAAATTATTATATAACAACATTGCGTATATAAAATGAATGTAAAACTATGGAATCCGTTGAATAGTGTAATTTAAATTGATTTTGTATAGATTTTAATAAGAAATTATTATATAACAACATTGCGTATATAAAATGAATGTAAAACTATGGAATCCGTTGAATAGTGTAATTTAAATTCCTTTTGTATAGATTTTAATAATTTATAATTGTTGAAAATAGCTTTAAACTAACCATTGATAGGAAATTAGCTGTTATTTAGGTGTTAGACACACAAAGAAAACCAGGAAAGCTCTAAGTGACCAACCAAATCGCTTATTAAAGAAATAGATCAATCGATTTATCTGTGTTAATGCAGAATTTTAATAAATTACGTTAATTAAATTAAACAAACAAACAATTAAACAAACAAAAATCTAAACATAAGATCATTATAACTGTACAAGAGCTGTTTCTTTATCAAGCAATAACAAATGCAGTGACACATATTCATTTTCATGTGTTACTGCACGTGGAGAAGAGATGATGAATTAGAAATTGTTGCTGACTATTCTTATATAAATTATATTATTATATTTAAAATGTTTCATCTATCAATTTTAAAATTAATAATTAAATAAAAATAATTATGAAAATATATTTGTGTGTGTAAAACATTTTTATAAATTTTCCAAAATCAATAATTTTAAATATTGTCTAATGTTAACGAAATTAAAATTAGTTATTTAATATATTTATTAAGTTAATCTTTATAAAACCTCTATAAGTATTTTTAATTCAAGTTAACATTTTAAACTTATATTTCATTGTCTGCAATGTTTAATGCAACGATTTAAATAATTTCATATTCTATTATCCAGTTCATCTTTTCATTATAATTTAAAACTTTAAGCGAATGTTCTTGATTTTTCTACATATTTGCTAACAAATCTTTTTAGTATACAGATTATTTTAAACAAATTTATTCACTTTAATTAAAATTCCATAATATAATTAACATTAACACAATTAACGTAAACAATTTAATTAAATCAGGGATCAAAACACATTTATCTTTATTTCATCTTAATTGATTTAAACTTATTTACAAATATTGATTTAATTTTAATTATAATTTTTTGCTACTATTGAAAATTTAATTATAATTTTTTAAATAATTTTATTTATTGAAATAAAACTAAATTAATTAAATTAATAGAAAAATTTGTAAAATATTTTTTATGATATAATTTGT